GCTGACCCTCCAGCAGGTTTTCAGAGGCTGCGGATAGTACAGGAGGAGATTGCTCATCTTTCACCCTTAGAGTTGCTTGGTGGATTTGAACTTCCAGAGAGGTGTGACCTCTGACTTAGCAGCACAGCCGCCATGGACTATGGCACCAGAGCTCCCAGGAAGGGGTGTTGTTACTGTTACGTGCCTGTCAAATCGAGTATGACTTGTAGTGAACCTGTGAGCGACCGAGCTGGCCCCTGTCCTGTCCTGTGAGATCCTCACAATCTCTGACACTCTCATGCCCATTGCTTCTTTGTCAGTCCACTTGAGGGTTTCCCCGTCTTTCGCTGTCCCTCCACCTTCCCAAGCATGATGTCCCTCTCCAGTGAATAATCCTTCCTAGCAATATGTCCAGAGTATGTGAGACAAAGCTTCATCATCTTTGCCTCCAAGGATCATTCTGGCTGCACTTTCTCCAAGACATGCCTGTTTGTTCTTTTGGTCGTCCATGGAATGGTCAGCAGTTTTCTTCAAACTTCAGTTCAAAGGCATTAATTCTTCTGTCATCCCTGTTCATTGTCCTGAGTTTAGATGCATAGGAGGTGATTGAAAAGACCATGGTCTGTGCAACTCTGGTTTCATCCCTACTCTTTCTCACCCCTCTACTCCCACCCCTTACCCCCTTGGGTTCCCATGCATGTTGTACTAGTTATCCTTCTATTTTCATAATAATGGTCTTATGCAGTATTTGTCCTCATGAGACTGAGTTAGTTCACTCAGCATAATGCTCTCCATTCTCTCCCAAGTTAAGTGAGAGGAGAGAGGATGTGAAAGAAATGGGAAGTATCCAGTGAGGACCTGAAAAGACAGTGTAATGATGTATAAGGTCCAGAGGTGATTAATTTTATAAAACAGTGCATGGAAATGCTTGTATGAAACATGATATGAGTGAAGAATAGTGTGAAACACAATGTATGCAAACTTTGTAATCAAACCAGTATAAAATAAAATATTTTTTCAATGTAAGACCAGGGCCTGAATCAGACCTGAACCTCAGATGACAGTTCTCAAACTCTGCGGTAGGACAGTCTGGGCTTGTGAGATGCTGAAGTTGAATCTGAATCTGGGTTGTTCACTAGACAATCTTGGGGAGTCCTTCTGTGGAACTGTTGTAACCACCAGGCAGGTCCCTGGCCACCTACCTCCCCTCCTGTCCCCCACTGCTTCTGGAGGAAGCAAAGTGATTTTCCCATAATGGGTACAAAGACATTCATGGGGAATGAGGCAGGAGGCATCCAGCCTGGCACCCCCTTTGTTCCCTGTGGGTGAGGGGACCCCTGGTGGAGAGCCTCAGCTCAGCAGCGCCCCTTCCTTCTTCTGGGACACCTCCCTGTCTAGAGCCTCTTTATTTAGTCTTCCCAGCACTTGGCAGTCTGCAAATCTGCCCACCGTCTCCCCTTCTGTGTCCACATCTGAACCTATAAATAGCCCCCAGACGCAGTCGGCGTTGCGACAGTTTGTACCATGTTAAATCCTCACTGTCACGGTCGCTAAATATGGAAGCATCTCGCTCAGGAACACGGATGCTTTTTCACAGCTTCATCAGTTTATGGGAGGGATGTGGCGCTGCAGATGTAGCTAACGGGACAGAAGGCAGCAAGTTAGACGATGCTTGCAACAGGAGCACACACTGCTGAAGCTTTTAGGGCGGTCCAGACCAGCCCTCAGTGCTGGGACAGGAGCTGCGTTCTAGAAAGACTATAAACCCACCGTGAAGTAGGGTCTTCTCTGCTCTGAGGAGAACCCTGAGGAATAAGGTGCAGCCGACCCAAGCATGGCATTTTCAGTCACCTCATGCGGAGCTCTGGGAGTGTAGTCAGAGCCACACTGCTAACCCAGATACCCCGCATCGTTGATGGTTCAAATCCACCAGCAGCTCCGCTGGAGAGAGATGGGCAGTCCCCTCTCACATGACTTAGCCTTAGAAACCCAAGGAGGGTCTGTGAGTTAGAACCAACTCAGCAGTGGTGACTTTTTCTTGTGCGTGTGAACGCAGACAGTGACTAAGGAAGACTGGAGACGAATTGTGAGGTTGCTAAACAACCCACAAGCCCACTGCCGTCAAGTCGGTTCCAGTTCAGTTCATAGTGACCCTCCACAAACGAGTGTGACTTGGAAAAAGTGAAGCCAGAGTGTTCCTTAGGAGGCAAGGCTGCATTTCTGGGTATAGTTGGCAGTCTCTTTATACCTTGGACTTGCACTTCTAAGCTTGACCCCGGTTTGTCTCTTGAGAACGTTAAGGTTTGGGGCTTTACTCCCAGGTCTCTGATCCACCTTGAGTTGATTTTTGTGTATGGTGTGAGATGTGGATCCTGTTTCAGCTTTCTGCAGGTGGAAGTCCAGTTTTGCCAGTGCCATCTGTTGAAGAGTTTGTCATTTCCCCATTTGATAGTTTTGATTTCCTTGTTGAATATCAGTTGACCATAGATAGCTGGGTCTATTTCTGGGTTCTCAATTCTGTTTCATTGGTCCGTGTGCCTGTCATTGTACCAGTGCCATGCTGTTTTGGTTACTACTGCTGTGTAGTAGGTTTTGAGGTCAGAGAGTGTTATGCCTCCAGCATCATTTTTCTTTCTCAGAAGTGTTTTGCTTATTCTAGGTCTCTGGCCTCACCAAATAAATCTGATAATTTCCCTTTCAGTCTCCTTGAAAAATGAATTTTGTATTTGGATTGTAAAATGCTACAATGATTCTGGAAGGCAGTTTGGTGTTTCCTCAAAAAGCTAAACAGAGAAATTCCATATAACCCAGCTATTTCACTACTTGGAATATACCGTGAGAAAATGAGAATGGAGATGCAAACTGAGATTTGTACACCAGTGTTCATAGCAGCATTATTCATCATTGCAAGAACATGGAAACAGCCCAAATGTCCAACCACAAACGAATGGATTTAGAAATTATGGTACATTCACACAATGAAATACTATACAGCACATAGAAGCAATAACTTTGTAAATTAAAACCGAACTTGGGAAGAACTGGAGAGCATTATGCTGAATGAACTAGCTCAGTCCTACAAGG